GCGTTCCACTGCGTATTTTCATTGTTTTCATTGTATCAGGGACTGATTTAGACCTTGAACACCAGGTGGGTGCAACTAATTATCATGTAGAACAGAAAACCAGCAGGCTCCGGACCTCGTAGGGTGAGAGTTGAGTACCCCTGCACTACAGCATACAATGACATTCTAGACGATTCTGTGCTTCCAACTTTGTGGCAACAGTTTGGGGAAGGCATTGAATATCCCTTTGAGCATGGTAAAGTTATTAATTACACTTCGGATGGTTATCAATACACCCAGTCTCTACAAAGATACAGGCGTCCTTCCCGCTCAGGGATTTCACCATGAGGCCAATGGTGACTTTAAAACAGTAACAGAGTTTAATGGCTGTGATAAGCGAAAACTGATGCTACTCCACTTATCAGGAAAATAGGAAAATGTGGCGCTGGACAACATGACCAGGAAGATTTTAATTTACCGGCCATTTGAGACCCATACGCATTGGGTGCGTAACCCATTAGGGCATCCACCCACGGTGCTCAGAATGCCAGAAATAACAATTAGATTATGGTAATTCATCTTAATAGAACATGCAACTCCTGTAATGAAGCAGCCAATAAAACGTCATTTTCAAACATTTGCAAAAACGCAATTCGCGGGAAAATGCCATTGTAAACTGCACACCTGATGAGAGCAGTTCCATATGTGACATAAATGAAAACCTCAGTTAGAAACTTAGAAAGAATCTTAAGATGAAACAACTAGGATGGGTTGCTGATATGACTAGGATTATTCCTTTGGCTTCTGGACAACAAAATAAAGTTAATATGAAAACCAATAGTAGAACAGGAGAAAAAGGCATATGAGGAAGTCTTTCATAGGCGTCAGCTAAGGAAGTAAATTTGCCAAATTTACTGTATATATTTACTCCTCTATACAGAAATCAAATCATTGAATTAGTTGAATTTTTACTTTGAGATTGTTACCATTTTAATTAAGATTTTTATGATTAACCACATGACAATGCTCGAGAAACGAATACATTATTGTTCCACGAAAATGCGCACATGAAAATCAAGCATATGAAAAGCGTCCCCAAACTTGAAACTCACGTGCCACCTATTAAGTATTTTTTAAAGAATTGCCTCCACGTTTCCATGGTCGGATTTGCCTATAGGCTACTTTGTAGCAAGGTAAGACATGCCTCATAAAATGTGGTAAAACATTCAGGTTTCAAAAAACTAAGCAGGCCTATGTTTTGAAAATGCATAGTAACTCCAGCTCACATTGTAAAGTGGTGGTGACATTTACATTTAAGTCATTTTAGTCATTTAGCAGACGCTCTTATCCAGAGCGACTTACAGTTAGTGAGTGCATACATTTTTCATACTGGCCCCCCGTGGGAATCGAACCCACAACACTGGCGTTGCAAGCACCATGCTCTACCAGCTGAGCTACAGGAGGCCTGATAGCCTGTTGCCTGCACTTGAATGGTGAATTGGAGATACATTTCAATAAGGCTACCAGTTTATAAGCACCCGGGTATTCGAACCAGCGACCTTTCGGTTACTGGCCCAACGCTCTAACCGCTAGGCTACCTGACACCCACTTTAACTCTGCGCAAATCTCCCATTCGTCGCGTGTTAAGAAATCCAGCGCTAACGTGCAGCATCTTTCTATCAGAAGACACAGGGACTAGAGTCGCACTCCCAGCGCATGACGCGCAGAGTCCCTGAGACAAAGAGATACTATTTCTTAAAGCCCCATACAGTTTAAAAATAAAATACAAAATGTAATCACTATATCTATTAAATCACTGTTTATTTCATGAATATATTTATCATTTATTTCTCTGAGCCTCCCATTTGCCATTGAAATGTTCAGTCTGATCATGTGGGCATGTCGATAATGTAAATATATTTACATACAGTGCATTCGGAAAGTATTTAGACCCCTTCCCTTTTCCCACATTTTTTCATGTTACAGCCTTATTCTAAAATTGATTAAATATTACACAATATCTACACAATACCCCACAATGACAAATTGAAAACAGGTTTAGACATTTTTGCTAATTTCTTAAAAATAAAAAACAGAAATACCTTATTTACATAAGTATTCAGACCATTTGCTATGAGACTTGAAATTGAGCTCAGGTGCATCCTGTTTCCATTGATCATACTTGATATGTTTCTACAACTTGATTGGAGTCCACCTGCGGTAAATTCAATTGATTTGACAAGGCACAGAAAGGTCCCACAGTTGACAGTGCATGTCAGATCAAAAACCAAGCTATGAGGTCGAAGGAATTGTCCATAGAGCTCAGAGACAGGATTGTGTTGAGGTACAGATCTGTGCAGCATGGTGGTGGCAGCATCATGCTGTGGGGATGTTTTTCAGCGGCAGTGACTGGGAGACTAGTCAGGATCGAGGGAAAGATGAACGGAGCAAAGTACAGAGAGATCCTTGATGAAAACCTGCTCCAGAGCACTCAGGACCTGACTGGAGCGAAGGTTCACCTTCCAACAGGACAACGACCCTAAGCACATAGCCAAGACAACGCAGGAGTGGCTTCGGGACAAGTCTCTAAGTGTCCTTGAGTGGCCCAGCCAGAGGCCAGACTTGAACCCATCCGAGCTTGAGAGGATCTGCAGAGAAGAATGGGAGGAACTCCCCAAATACAGGTGTGCCAAGCTTGTAGCGTCATACCCAAGAAGACTCAAGGCTGTAATCGCTGCCAAAGGAGCTTCAACAAAGTACTGAATATGGGTCTGAATACTTAATTTCTAAAAACCTGCTTTGCTTTGTGATTATGGGGTTTTGTGTGTAGATTGATGAGGGGAAAAAACTATTTAATCAATTTTAGAATAAGGCTGTAACATAGCAAAATGTGGAAAAAGTAAAGGGTCTGAATACTTTCCGAATGCACTGTACACAGCCCTGATTGGCAGGCTCTAGAGTCTAGACTATCCTCAGTTACTATCCACAGCTCTTACACAAAAAGGGCATCATCATTTTCACAGTTTGAGTGTTATTTCGACCTCATTAACCAGGTTTCCATCCAACCTTTTTATGCAAGTAAAGTACATGTCGGATATTTTTTTTACGACAGGCCTGATTTAAACATCAAATTCGTCAGTACATTTTCCAAACGTCAACAAAACAAAATATGCTAGACAAAGTGGGATATTTTTGTCTGTAAAATTAATAATGCGAGAAATGGCATTATGAGCAAATAGATATAATAACCATCATATCGAAGTAAACTTGTAGTCACGCGATGACTTGGTGCGTTCCTCCCACTACGACTCAGGAAAGCATGCAGTTTATTTGGCTACAGATTCAATAAGTTATCACAGGGTGGCGAAAGTGCACGGTGAGGACCTTGATGCTCCTTTCCAATAAATAGAGGGTCTTCTTCTGGTGACATGATGATCGATGTTCGGCTGCCATTTGACAACTAAAAATAATCTATCTTTTGTGCATAATAATCTCATCATGTCGGCTATACCTGCACCGTATCTGCGAGCTGTTGGCTAGAGCACACGTGCCTATATCAGTGGGCACACTTGCTAAAAAATGTTTTGTGACAAATGCGATGGAAACACATTTAACTACATGGGAATTTCACAGCAAAAGTTATTTTTATGTGCACTACATCACGCACCGCCTTTTATCCGCAACAAGTAAATTTGATGAAAACATCTCTGGTTTGGAAAATGCATGTAGATTTTAGAATATTCACATGAAAATATGTTCACCAAATGGATGGAAAACCAGCTATAGTGTGGAAATATCACGTTTTTAACTGCACTGCCCCTTTAACACATGTAATTCACCAGCAAGGCACACGCTAGCAACTACACTCAGAAAAAGCAAAACGGAAAAGTTAAGTCAACAGTTGTTAAATACCTTGCATCAAGTCTGTTCATTGTTAGAAATATAACAAATAAAAGTTAATATTTTTTGCATATTTGTTCTAGCATGGGTTGCAAAAGAAGTCGTTTTACCTATGTAGGAAGTTTGACCTATGTAGGCATCCGTGTCTCCAATGTACATCTCAATGCAGTGGCCGAGCATCGTCACAGAAAACGTGTCATCTCTTTTAAGACCGAGTGCCTGTCAGAAACGGAAGCAAAACTCATAAATTGCTGTAATAGTAACATACAAAGAATGTATAGCAATATTTATTCAACATGTCACACAGGTTCGGTGTCAACGGATAAAAAAATGTAAATGAAAGAAAAAAAGAAGAAAAAAACCCGGAATAACCAGTACCGTGTGAAAGTAGTCGATGGCGCTCTCGAAGTCTCCCATGAGGCTGTGCACATATCCGATGGCGGAGTAGGTTGAGGCGTGCTGAGGGATGAGAACCAGGGCCTGGCGGTGGTACTCCAAAGCCTGGTCATACTTCCTATTGGAGGACAGAACAAAACAACCAATCAGACAGTTCTCCCAGAGCCAAACTAGAGCTCTACCTGGTCTGGGTGCGTTCCACAGGAGGTTGGTGGCACCTAAAATTGGGGAGGACGGGCTCCTGATAATGGTATCAAATACATCAAAACACATGGTTTCCATGTGTTTGATAGCATTCCAGTCACCGTCCTCCCCTCAGCAGTCTCCTGTGGTGTGTTCAGAGATCCAAAAAATTATGTTACCAAATACTATCCCCTCTCAGACCTAGGTCCAAATAGTCGTCGTTTTCAAATTCACCACATAGGAAAAACACCCCCATCAGGTCTTGTACAAATCAAATACTTTACCATGTGTATGTTGTTCGCATGGGTTTGACTTAACGGATTCAATCAATTGGTCAGTAAACACTGCAGTCCTGTTAAGAAGCCTTTATTAAAATAAAAACAAAACATTAACTGCAAGGTGTAGATTACCAAAGATGGACCTTTACATAAAAAGTACCCAAACCTTTTCAAAACTGCCACTTGTACCGCAAAGCCTCTCCCTAGATCTGCTGAGTGGCTACTAGGCATTATTCATGAACAGGTCTACGCATGAATACTCAATTAGAGTCCTACTTCTACAGACGGACTGAGGAGAGCAAGTGCGTGTCTCTGAAAATAGTCAGAGGAGAGAGAAAGAAAAAAAGAGCGGGAGATAGGTCCTCTCATTACCTCGAGCTCTCCACCTGAAATACCACTCAGGTTAATTTTGGATCCCTGTCCTTTAACGTGGTACCTGGAAGACAATAGAGAAATGCCTGCCTACCTAACCCATAAGTGTGGTGAGAACAAGGATAGGACAACAACTATGATGTCATAGGAGAGATGCCAGTCAGAACTTCCATTCTGTTCAGTTCCGTACCCTCAAAGGGAATGTCACAAAGCCAGCTACAAATATTCTGGATTAGCTAAAACTAGCTAACTTCAGTTTGTTCCACATTCTAGCTCAGGCTTCATCCAGATCACAAAAGGTGGATATTTATCCAACACCTGCCACTAAATGTCGCACGTGGATAGCCCAGCGACTTACCTAGGTAAACGGTGATGCCATCTTCATGACAACGTTGAATTCAGAATAAACCAAAGAGAGCTCACAACTCATCATCCCGCTTCGTGACATACCCCTCTGGTGTCCTGATGAGGAAACACTTGCCGGGAGGATCTCCATACTCACTTCAGTTTTCGACAAACGTGACCCAGGTTGTTCAGGAGAGGCTCCCACTTGTCCACAGTTACCTGATAAATACAAAAGCTTGAAAATCATGGAAAAAATAGGAATGTTTGCATTGAAGATAACCCTTGGGGGGGTATTGAAGATAATGACTGGGGTCATATTGTTTATCATAGCCCAAAGGTGACTTATTCAATTCTTTAAATTTGACAATCTAAATAATGGTTTAGTGTTTCTGTATCAATATGGACTTTTTGAACCCCCCCCCCCCCAAAAAAAAAAAAAAAAATATATCTGCCTTTAGTAATTTCATAGATATCACCTTTATTTGAATCTAGGTTTATCTGGAGATATAATAACAAGATATCTCCCCATGTGTGTATTGTCTAAAAAGGTAGTAATTCTAGGGCAAATCTAAAAAACATCTTTATTTGAATCCAGGATTCTCTGGAGACATAATATTAAGTTATCCACCAGAGGGTGAAGGAGGACCTGTATAGACAGAACACCTGCAGAGACAACGCACCTTATGTACTCACCTATGGTTAAAACTAGGTATGACCGTGTACAAAATAAATATTACCTTGATATATTAAAGCGCATAAGTCTGTCAGTACTACAGTGAGGTAAAAAAGTATTTGATCCCCTGCTGATTTTGTATGTTTGCCCACTGACAAAGACATGATCAGTCTATAATTGTAATGGTAGGTTTATTTGAACAGTGAGACAGAGTAACAACAAAAAAATCCAGAAAAATGCATGTCAAAAATGTTATAAATTGATTTGCATTTTAATGAAGGAAATAAGTATTTGACCCCTCTGCAAAACATGACTTAGTTCTTGGTGGCAAAACCCTTGTTGGCAATCACAGAGGTCAGATGTTTCTTGTAGTTGGCCACCAGGTTTGCACACATCCTCTTTGCAGATCGTCATTAAGGTTTCGAGGCTGACGTTTGGCAACTCGAACCTTCAGCTCCCTCTACAGATTTTCTATGGGACTAAGGTCTGGAGACTGGCTAGGCCACTCCAGGACCTTAATGTGCTTCTTCTTGAGCCACTCCTTGTTGCCTTGGCCGTGAGTTTTGGGTCAATGTCATGCTGGAATACCCATCCACAACCCATTTTCAATGCCCTGGCTGAGGGAAGGAGGTTCTCACCCAAGATTTGACGGTACATGGCCCCGTCCATCGTCCCTTTGATGCGGTGAAGTTGTTGTGTCCCCTTAGCAGAAAAACACCCCCAAAGCATAATGTTTCCACCTCCATGTTTGACGGTGGGGATGGTGTTCTTGGGGTCATAGGCAGCATTCCTCCTCCTCCAAACACAGCGAGTTGAGTTGATGCCAAAGAGCTCCATTTTAGTCTCATCTGACCACAACACTTTCACCCAGTTCTCCTCTGAATCATTCAGATGTTCATTGGCAAACTTCAGACGGGCATGTATATGTGCTTTCTTGAGCAGGGGGACCTTGCGGTCGTTGCAGGATTTCAGTCCTTCACGACGTAGTGTGTTACTAAGTGTTTTCTTGATGACTATGGTCCCAGCTGCATTGAGATCATTGACAAGATCCTCCCGTGTAGTTCTGGGCTGATTCCTCACCGTTTCATGATCATTGCAACTCTACGAGGTGAGATCTTGCATGGAGCCCCAGGCCGAGGGAGATTGACAGTTCTTTTGTGTTTCTTCCATTTGCGAATAATCGCACCAACTGTTGTCACCTACTCACCAAGCTGCTTGGCGATGGTCTTGTAGCCCATTCCAGCCTTGTGTAGGTCTACAATCTTGTCCCTGACATCCTTGGAGAGCTCTTTGGTTTTGGCCATGGTGGAGAGTTTGGAATCTGATTGATTGATTGCTGCTGTGGACAGGTGTCTTTTATACAGTTAACAAGCTGAGATTAGGAGCATTCCCTTTAAGAGTGTGCTCCTAATCTCAGCTCGTTACCTGTATAAAAGACACCTGGGAGCCAGAAATCTTTCTGATTGAGAGGGGGTCAAATACTCATTTCCCTCATTAAAATGCAAATAAATGTATAACATTTTTGACATGCGTTTTTCTGGATTTTTTGTTGTTGTTATTCTGTCTCTTACTGTTCAAATAACGTACAAAATCAGCAGGGGATCAAATACTTTTTTCCCCTCACTGTAAATACTTGGTAGAACTAATACAGAAACCAGCTACCCTCGATATGTATACAGTGCTCTATTGGTGTGTATTCTCCCCCCAAAAAAATATTTTACAGGAAGTGTTATAAATACCAGAATTCCTATAATATTCTGTGTGAGAGACTTGTTATGGTGTTTGGGTTACTGTACATGCTTTTTGAAGCATCCTACTGTAGGCCCTACCACTCCCATTGTTTCACTAGCAGCAATGCTAACGCTGCCTGTGAGGTAAGTAAATACATAATGAAAAGGGCTGCACATTATTTAAGAGGAAAATTTATATTTTCGTTTTCTAGAATATGCAAATGTGCTGTAATTGTGCTAAAAGTATTTTCGTAATTTTGTTTCTTCAGATAACATTATTTACATGTCTAATAATGTTCTAATAAGAATTAAGTTGATACTTTGCTATGATTGTTGCTTTTTCCAATAGTTTCTTCTTTGGGTCAAAATGAAACCAGTTGGTTATCCATGTATGTAAAATATGTTGATAGTATGATTAAGAAGTCCCAAAACATAAAGATGGAGCATGATACATGTGGGACTCGATTCAAATGACCAGCTACCTCGTTCCCAATGGCTTTGATCTTGTCCATGGCATCCAGGAACAACTTCTCGGCTGTTTTCCAGCTGAAAAGGGAAGAATCAAAAGACATTTCAGCAAAATCCACACATGAATACATTTAAAAAATAAAGCAATAGTACCTTTCACACACTATCGTGTCAGCCTGAACAGTACTGTGCTAGCTCAGATTTTGTCTTTTCAAATGGTCCTTTCCGGCACAGTTCCAGCAACTATGGTGGACGCATTGCCAGGTCCAGCTGTTGGATCATCGTTTCCTACTAAATAGACAGAACTCACATTTCTAGTCACAACCTAATCTCGGTTAACCCAGAAGTAAAATCTTGCGTAATTTGGTAGCTGTGTGATAAACTTCTGGGTCTAAGTGTTAGAAATTGACATTTCCGGCAAAGATGTCTCGACCCTCGCAAAAGGAAAAGCTCTCAGCCAAATGTGTGCACGTTGAGGTATTCTAGTGTGTTATACATCATCTTCGGAGCACACGTGTGAGTGTACACATGCGTACATTTTCCCAGTGTGGGTGAGTAGAAATACATATTATCCCAGTATGTGTTAGGGCCGGGATGATACCAGTATCGCAATACTCGTTAGTATCGTGGCAAGGAAAGAAAACACAAAGCGAAAGTAACTTCTTTAGGAAAACAACCACAATGTTGGAAACAAACATGTCGCCGTTATCTAGAGTGACATTTATTTATTTTCCAAGCTATAGCACATAATATATGACATACAGCAGGTTTTTAAAGGACTAAAGACTGTGGTCTGCTTTGTGTTATCATTTTTGCTATGGAAAAAATATATTGCAATACTGGTATCATCTTAAGTTTTAATGTCCCATGTACAAGTATAGTGAAATGCCCAAAAATGCGGTAATCAATAACAATCTAATACTAAAAATAACAAAGTACAACGAACACACGAGAAATCAAAATAAAAACACGAGAAAGTAAGCATACTATGTATGTATGTATGTACAGTTGAAGTCGGAAGTTTACACACACCTTAGCCAAATACATTTAAACTCTGTTTTTCCCAATTCCTGACATTTAATACCAGTAAAAATAACCTGTTTTAGGTCAGTGAGGATCACCACTTTATTTTAAGAATGTTAAATGTCAGAATAATAGTAGAGTGATTTATTTCAGCTTTTATTTCTTTCATCACATTCCCAGTGGATCAGAAGTTTACATACACTCAATTAGTATTTGATAGCATTGCCATTAAATTGTTTAACTTGGGTCAAACATTTCAGGTAGCCTTCGACAAGCTTCCCACAATAAGTTGGGTGAATTTTGGCCCATTCCTTCTGACAGAGCTGGTGTAACTGAGTCAGGTTTGTAGGACTCCTTGCTCGCACACGCTTTTTCAGTTCTGCCCACAAATTATCTATAGGATTGAGGTCAGGGCTTTGTGATGGCCACTCCAATACCTTGACTTTGTTGTCCTTAAGCCATTTTGCCACAAATTTGGAAGTATGCTTGGGGTCATTGTCCATTTGGAAGACCCATTTGCGACCAAGCTTTAACTTCCTGACTGATGTCTTGAGATGTTGCTTCAATATATCCACATAATTTTCCTTCCTCATGATGCCATCTATTTTGTGAAATGCACCAGTCCCTCCTGCAGCAAAGCACCCCCACAGCATGATGCTGCCACCCCCGTGCTTCACGGTTGGGATGGTGTTCTTCGGCTTGCAAGAAAACCCCTTTTTCCACCAAACATAATGATGGTCATTATGGCCAAACAGTTCCATTTTTGTTTCATCAGACCAGAGGACATTTCTCCAAAAAGTACAATCTTTGTCCCCATGTGCAGTTGCAAACCGCAGTCTGCCTTTTGTATGGCGGTTTTGGAGCAGTGGCTTCTTCCTTGCTGAGCAGCCTTTCAGGTTATGTCGATATAGGACTCATTTTACTGTGGATATAGATACTTTTGTACCTGTTTCCTCCAGCATCTTCACAAGGTCCTTTGCTGTTGCTCTGGGATTGATTTGCACTTTTCGCACCAAAGTACGTTCATCTCTAGGAGACAGAACGCGTCTCCTTCCAAGGCGGTATGACGGCTGTGTGGTCCCATGGTGTTTATACTTGCGTACTATTGTTTGTACAGATGAACGTGGTACCTTCAGGCGTTTGGAAATTGCTCCCAAGGATGAACCAGACTTGTGGAGGTCTACGATTATTTTTCTGAGGTCTTGGCTGATTTCTTTAGATTTTCCCATGACGTCAAGCAAAGAGGCATTGATTTTGAAAGTAGGCCTTGAAATACATCCACAGGTACACCTCCAATTGACTCAAACTATGTCAATTAGTCTATCAGAAGCTTCTAAAACCGTGACATCATTTCCTGGAATTTTCCAAGCTGTTGAAAGGCACAGTCAACTTAGTGTATGTAAACCTCTGACCCACTGGAATTGTGATACAGTGAATTATAAGTGAAATAATCTGTTTGAAAACAATTGTTGGAAAGATTACTTGTCTCATGCACAAAGTAGATGTCCTAACTGACTTGCCAAAACTATAGTTTGTTAACGACAAAATAATAATATATATATGTATATATATGTATATATATATATATTATATATACACACACACACACACACACACACACACACACACACACATACAGTGAGGGAAAAAAGTATTTGATACCCTGCTGATTTTGTACGTTTGCCCACTGAAAGAAATGATCACTATAATTTTCATGGTAGGTTTATTTGAACAGTGAGAGACAGAATAACAACAACAAAATCCAGAAAAACACATGTCAAAAATGTTAAAAATTGATTTGCATTTTAATGAGGGAAATAAGTATTTGACCCCCTCTCAATCAGAAAGATTTCTGGCTCCCAGGTGTCTTTTATACAGGCAATGAGCTGAGATTAGGAGCACACTCTTAAAGGGAGTGCTCCTAATCTCAGTTTGTTACCTGTATAAAAAGACACCTGTCCACAGAAGCAATCAATCAGATTCCAAACTCTCCACCATGGCCAAGACCAAAGAGCTCTCCAAGGATGTCAGGAACAAGATTGTAGACCTACACAAGGCTGGAATGGGCTACAAGACCATTGCCACGCAGCTTGGTGAGAAGGTGACAACAGTTGGTGCGATTATTCGCAAATGGAAGAAACACAAAAGACTTGTCAATCTCCCTCGGCCTGGGGCTCCATGCAAGATCTCACCTCGTGGAGTTGCATTGATCATGAGAACGGTGAGCAATCAGCCCAGAACTACACAGGATGATCTTGTCAATGATCTCAAGGCAGCTGGGACCATAGTCACCAAGAAAACAATTGGTAACACACTACGCTGTGAAGGACTGAAATCCTGCAGCTCCCGCAAGGTCCCCCTGCTCAAGAAAGCACATATACAGGCCCGTCTGAAGTTTGCCCATGAACATCTGAATGATTCAGAGGAGAACTGGGTGAAAGTGTTGTGGTCAGATAAGACCAAAATGGAGCTCTTTGGTATCAACTCAACTCGCCGTGTTTGGAGGAGGAGGAATGCTGCCTATGACCCCAAGAACACCATCCACGCCGTCAAACATGGAGGTGGAAACTTTATGCTTTGGGGGTGTTTTTCTGGTAAGGGGACAGGACAACTTCACCGCATCAAAGGGACGATGGACAGGGCCATGTACCCTCAAATCTTGGGTGAGAACCTCAGCCAGGGCATTGAAAATGGGTCGTGGATGGGTATTCCAGCATGACAATGACCCAAAACACACGGCCAATGCAACAAAGGAGTGGCTCAAGAAGAAGCACATTAAGGTCCTGGAGTGGCCTAACCAGTCTCCAGACCATAATCCCATAGAAAATCTGTGGAGGGAGCTGAAGGTTTGAGTTGCCAAACGTCAGCCTCGAAACCTTAATGACTTGGAGAAGATCTGCAAAGAGGAGTGGGACAAAATCCCTCCTGAGATGTGTGCAAACCTGGTGGCCAACTACAAGAAACGTCTGACCTCTGTGATTGCCAACCAGGGTTTTGCCACCAAGTACCAAGTCCAGGACCTTAATGTGCTTCTTCTTGAGCCACTCCTTTGTTGCCCTGGCCGTGTGTTTTGGGTCATTGTCATGCTGGAATACCCATCCACAACCCATTTTCAATGCCCTGGCTGAGGGAAGGATATTTGACGGTACATGGCCCCGTCCATCGTCCCTTTGATGCAGTGAAGATCTCCTGTCCCCTTAGCAGAAAAACACCCCCAAAGCATGTTTCCACCTCCATGCTTGACGGTGGGGATGGTGTTCTTGGGGTCATTGGCAGCATTACTCCTCCTCCAAACACGGCGAGTTGAGTTGAGACCAAAATGGAGCTCTTTGGCATCATCTGACCACAACACTTTCTCCGACTTCTCCTCTGAATCATTCAGATGTTCATTGGCAAACTTCAGACGGGCCTGTATATGTGCCTTCTTGAGCAGGGGGACCTTGCGGGCGCTGCAGGATTTCAGTCCTTCACGGCGTAGTGTGTTACCAATTGTTTTCTTGGTGACTATGATCCCAGCTGCCTTGAGATCATTGACAAGATCCTCCCGTGTAGTTCTGGGCTGATTCCTCACCGTTCTCATGATCATTGCAACTGAGATCTTGCATGGAGCCCCAGGCCGAGGGAGATTGACAGTTCTTTTATGTTTCTTCCATTTGTGAATAATCGCACCAACTGTTGTCACCTTCTCACCAAGCTGCCAAGTCTTGTAGCCCATTCCAGCCTTGTGTAGGTCTACAATCTTGTCCCTGACATCCTTGGAGAGCTCTTTGGTCTTGGCCATGGTGGAGAGTTTGGAATCTGATTGATTGCTTGCTTCTGTGGACATGTGTCTTTTATACAGGTAACAAACTGAGATTAGGAGCACTCCCTTTAAGAGTGTGCTCCTAATCTCAGCTCGTTACCTGTATAAAAAGACACCTGGGAGCCAGAAATCTCTCTGATTGAGAGGGAGTCAAATACTTATTTCCCTCATTAAAATGCAAATCAATTTTTAACATTTTTGACATGTGTTTTTCTGGATTTTGTTGTTGTTATTCTGTCTCTCACTGTTCAAATAAACCTACCATTAAAATTATAGACTGATAATTTCTTTGTCAGTGGGCAAACGTATAAAATCAGCAGGGGATCAAATACTTTTTTCCCCTCACTGTATAGATGTGTGTGTGTGTGTGTGTGTGTGTGTGTGTGTGTGTGTGTGTGTGTGTGTGTGTGTGTGTGTGTGTGTGTATGTATATATATATATATATATATACACACACAGGTAAAAGTCAGTAAATTAGAATATTTTGAAAAACTTGATTTATTTCAGTAATTGCATTCAAAAGGTGTAACTTGTACATTATATTTATTCATTGCACACAGACTGATGCATTCAAATGTTTATTTCATTTAATTTTGATGATTTGAAGTGGCAACAAATGAAAATCCAAAATTCCGTGTGTCACAAAATTAGAATATTACTTAAGGCTAATACAAAAAAGGGATTTTTTAGAAATGTTGGCCAACTGAAAAGTATGAAAATGAAAAATATGAGCATGTACAATACTCAATACTTGGTTGGAGCTCCTTTTGCCTCAATTACTGCATTAATGCGGCGTGGCATGGAGTCGATGAGTTTCTGGCACTGCTCAGGTGTTATGAGAGCCCAGGTTGCTCTGATAGTGGCCTTCAACTCTTCTGCGTTGTTGGGTCTGGCATTCTGCATCTTCCTTTTCACAATACCCCACAGATTTTCTATGGGGCTAAGGTCAGGGGAGTTGGCTGGCCAATTTAGAACAGAAATACCATGGTCCGTAAACCAGGCACGGGTAGATTTTGCGCTGTGTGCAGGCGCCAAGTCCTGTTGGAACCTGAAATCTCCATCTCCATAGAGCAGGTCAGCAGCAGGAAGCATGAAGTGCTCTAAAACTTGCTGGTAGACGGCTGCGTTGACCCTTGATCTCAGGAAACAGAGTGGACCGACACCAGCAGATGACATGGCACCCCAAACCATCACTGATGGTGGAAACTTTACACTAGACTTCAGGCAACGTGGATCCTGTGCCTCTCCTGTCTTCCTCCAGACTCTGGGACCTCGATTTCCAAAGGAAATGCAAAATTTGCTTTCGTCAGAAAACATGACTTTAGACCACTCAGCAGCAGTCCAGCTCTTTTTTTCCTTAGCCCAGGTGAGACGCTTTTCGCGCTGTTTCTTGGTCAACAGTGGCTTGACACGAGGTATGCGGCAGTTGAAACCCATGTCTTTCAAGCGTCTCTTGGTGGTGGATCTTGAAGCCCTGACTCCAGCAGCTGTCCACTCCTTGTGAATCTCCCCCACATTTTTGAATGGTTTTTTTTTCACAATCTTGACTAGGGCGCGGTGATCCCTATCGCTTGTACACTTTTTCTGACCACAGTTTTTCCTTCCCTTTGCCTCTCTATTAATGTGTTTGGACACAGAGCTCTGAGAACAGCCAGCCTCTTCTGCAATAACCTTTTGTGTCTTTCCCTCCTTGTGCAATGTGTCGATGGTCGCCTTTTGGACAGCTGTCAAATCTGAAGTCTTCCCCATGTTTGTGTAGGCTTCAGAACTGGACTGAGAGACCATTTAAAGCCCTTTGCAGGTGTTTTGAGTTAATCAGCTGATTATTTTGTGGCACCAGGTGTCTTCAAAATGTAACCCTTACACAATATTCTAATTTTGTGACACACGGAATTTTGGATTTTCATTTGTTGCCACTTCAAATCATCAAAATTAAATGAAATAAACATTTGAATGCATCAGTCTGTGTGCAATGAATAAATATAATGTACAAGTTACACCTTTTGAATGCAATTACTGAAATAAATCAAGTTTTTCAAAATATTCTAATTTACTGACTTTTACCTGTATATATATATATATATATATATATATATATATATATATATATATATATATATATATATATATATATATATATATATACATACATATACATACATACACACACACACACACACACACATACACACACACACACTGCTCAAAAAAATAAAGGGAACACTTAAACAACACAATGTCACTCCAAGTCAATCACACGTCTGTGAAATCAAACTTTCCACTTAGGAAGCAACACTGATTGACAATACATTTCACATGCTGTTGTGCAAATGGAATAGACAACAGGTGGAAATTATAGGCAATTAGCAAGACACCCCCAATAAAGGACTGGTTTTGCAGGTGGTGACCACAGACCACTTCTCAGTTCCTATGCTTCCTGGCTGATGTTTTGGTCACTTTTGAATGCTGGCGGTGCTTTCACTCTAGTGGTAGCATGAGACGGAGTCTACAACCCACACAAGTGTCTCAGGTAGTGCAGCTCATCCAGGATGGCACATCAATGCGAGCTGTGGCAAGAAGGTTTGCTGTGTTTGTCAGCGTAGTGTCCAGAGCATGGAGGCGCTACCAGGAGACAGGCCAGTACATCAGGAGATGTGGAGGAGGCCGTAGGAGGGCAACAACCCAGCAGCAGGACTGCTACCTCCGCCTTTGTGCAAGGAGGAGCAGGAGGAGCACTGCCAGAGCCCTGCAAAATGACCTCCAGCAGGCCAAAAATGTGCATGTGTCTGCTCAAACGTTCAGAAACAGACTCCATGAGGGTGGTATGAGGGCCCGACGTCCACAGGTGGGGGTTGTGCATACAGCCCAACACCGTGCAGGACGTTTGGCATTTGCCAGAGAACACCAAGATTGGCAAATTCGTCACTGGCAAATTCATCTTCACAGATGAAAGCAGGTTCACACTGAGCACATGTGACAGACGTGACAGAGTCTGGAGACGCCGTGGAGAACGTTCTGCTGCCTGCAACATCCTCCAGCATGACCGGTTTGGCGGTGGGTCAGTCATGGTGTGGGGTGGCATTTCTTTGGAAGGACGCACAGCCCTCCATGTACTCGCCAGAGGTAGCCTGACTGCCATTAGGTACCGAGATGAGATCCTCAGACCCCTTGTGAGACCATATGCTGGTGCGGTTGGCCCTGGGTTCCTCCTAATGCAAGACAATGCTAGACCTCATGTGGCTGGAGTGTGTCAGCAGTTCCTGCAAGAGGAAGGCATTGATGCTATGGACTGGCCCGCCCGTTCTCCAGACCTGAATCCAATTGAGCACATCTGGGACATCATGTCTCGCTCCATCCACCAACGCCACATTGCACCACAGACTGTCCAGGAGTTGGCGGATGCTTTAGTCCAGGTCTGGGAGGAGATCCCTCAGGAGACCATCCGCCACCTCATCAGGAGCATGCCCAGGCGTTGTAGGGAGGTCACGTGGAGGCCACACACACTACTGAGCCTCATTTTGACTTGTTTTAAGGACATTACATCAAAGTTGGATCAGCCTGTAGTGTGGTTTTCCACTTTAATTTTGAGGGTGACTCCAAATCCAGACCTCCATGGGTTGATACATTTGATTTCCATTGATAATTTATGTGTGATTTTGTTGTCAGCACATTAAACTATGTAAAGAAAAAAGTATTTAATAAGATTATTTCATTCATTCAGATCTAGGATGTGTTATTTTAGTGTTCCCTTTATTTTGTGTGTGTGTGTGTGTGTGTGTGTGTGTGTGTGTGTGTGTGTTATATATACATACACACATATATATACACATATACACACACACACACACACGGGTCAGTCAGTTCCAGTACCATATTTACAATGTGCAGGGATTCTGGAGTGATAGAGGTAGATATGTATAAGCGTAAGGATATATGATAAACAGAGTAGCAGCAGCATATATGATGATTGTATGTGAGTGGGTATGCGTGTGTAGAGTCAGTATAAATGTATGTGCATATTATGTGTGTGTGAGCAAATTATGGAGTGAGTGTTCGTGTTGGAGTGTCAGTGTGCAGGGCCCTGCGAGTGTGCATTGAGACTGTGCAAAAATAATAGTATGCGTGTTACTCACTCTCCGTTCTGGAAGGCCACTACGGCCACCTCGTGCATGACAAAGGGGTCTTCTGGTGCGATGCTTAGGGCCTGGCTGAAGAAGCGCTCGGCCAGTTTAGAGTTGTTAGTAAGGCCATACTCCAGCCCTATGTACAACAGAGGGAGATGGCACCTGGACAGGAGAGATGAATGCAAAGGTTAGGGGAAATGCTAATGGGCAAGGAAGGTTGTGCAAGTACAAGTTATATGCTTATGAAGATATTTTATTTGCATCAGTTTGTTATGACACTGTACATTTCTCACTGTTTTCAATGACCAAGGCAGCCCTGTTTAGCAAGATGCCTTTGAACACACTCAACTTTGCTTTTTAGCACACATCCTGTTCAGTGGATGTGGGGGTGTCTATGTGCGTGTGTGGAAGGGGGGTCTGGGTACAATAACAGTACATACCCCTTCATCAGTTGAGCAGCGGTGAAGTACGCAGCCATGGCCTGGTCGTGTTCACTCTCCACCGCAAACGAGTGACCGTAGGCGATCCATGCCGGACCGTACGTCCGCTCCAGAGTTGTCGCCTTGCTGCGGGAGACAGAATTAGGACGTTAGTGTAAATCAGAGATATTCTAGTCTGTCACGGAGCGAATGCAGAGTCAATTAGTATATATATATATATATATATATATATATATATATATATATATACACACACACACACACACACACACACACACACACACACACTTGTTGTTACTACATGATTACATAGTTTTGATGTCTTCACTATTATTCTACAATGTAGAAAATAGTCAAAATAAAGAAAAACCCTTGAATGAGTAGGTGTCCAAACTTTTGACTGGTACTGTATGTATGTACGTACAGTTGAAGTCAGAGGTTTACATACATGTAGGTTGGAGTCATTAAAACTAGTTTTTCAACCACTCCGCAAATTTCTTATTAACAAACTATCGTTTTGGCAAGTCGGTTAGGACATCTACTTTGTGCATGAGACAAGTAATCTTTCCAACAATTGTTTACAGACTGATTATTTCACTTATAATTCACTATATCACAATTCCAGTGGGTAAGAAGTTTACATACACTAAGTTGAATGTGCCTTTAAACAGCTTGGAAAAATCCAGAAAATGACATCATGGCTTTAGAAGCTTCGGATAGGCTAATTGACATAATTTGAGTCAATTAGAGGTGTACCTGTGGATGTATTTCAAGGTCTCCCTTCAAACTCAGTGCCTTTTTGCTTGACATCATGGGGAAATCAAGGGAAATCAAAAGAAATCAACCAAGACCTCAGAAAAAAAATGGTAGACCTCCACAAGTCTGGTTCATCCTTGGGAGCAATTTCAAATGCCTGAAGGTGCCACGTTCATCTGTACAAACAACAGTACGCAAGTATAAACACCATGGGACCATGCAGCAGTCATACCACTCAGGAAGGAGATGCGTTCTGTCTCCTAGAGATGAACGTACTTTGGTGCGAAAAGTGCAAATCAATCCCAGAACAACAGCAAAGGACCTTGTGAAGATGCTGGAGGAAACGGGTACAAAAGTATCTATATCCACAGTAAAACGAGTCCTATATCGACATAACCTGAAAGGCCGCTCAGCAAGGAAGAAGCCACTGCTCCAAAACCGCCATACAAAAGCCAGACTATGGTTTGCAACTGCACATGAGGACAAAGGTGGTACTATTTGGAGAAATGTCCTCTAGTCTGATGAAACAAAAATATAACTTTTTGGCCATAATGAACATCGTTATGTTTGGACGAAAAAGGGAGTGGCTTGCAAGCCAAAGAACACAATCACAACCGTGAAGCACGGGGGTGGTTACTGCAGGAGGGACTGGTGCACTTCACAAAATAGATGGCATCAAGAGGAATGAAAATTATGTGGATATATTGAAGCAACATTCTCAAGACATCAGTCAGGAAGTTAAAGCTTGGTTGCAAATGGGTCTTCCAAATGGACAATGACCCCAAGCATACTTCCAAAGTTGTGGCAAAATGGCTTAAGGACAACAAAGTCAAGGTATTGGAGTGGCCATCACAAAGCCCTGACCTCAATCCTATAGAAAATATGGGGGCAGAACTGAAAAAGCGTGTGCGAGCAAGGAGTCCTACAAACCTGACTCAGTTACACCAGCTCTGTCAGGAGGAATGGGCCAAAATTCACCCAACTTATTGTGGGAAGCTTGTGGAAGGCTACCCGAAACGTTTGACACAAGTTAAACAATTTAAAAGCAATGCTACCAAATACTAATTGAGTGTATGTAAACTTCTGACCCACTGGGAATGTGATGAAATAAATCATTTCTCTCTACCATTATTCTGACATTTCACATTCTTAAAATAAAGTGGTGATCCAAATTGACCTAAAACAGGGAATTTTTTACTAGGATTAAATGTCAGGAATTGTGAAAAACTGAGTTTAAATGTATTTGGCTAAAGTGTATGTAAACTTTGACTTCAACTGTATGTATGAATGCAAACTCAGGGTCCTGAAAAAGGGACGTTTCTTTTTTTGCTGTCTTTAACAGCTTACAGACGGTAGGCAATTAAGGTCACAGTTATGAAAACTTAGGACACTAAAGAGGTCTTTCTACTGACTCTGAAAAACACCAAAAGAAAGATGCCCAGGGTCCCTGCTCATCTGTGTGAATGTGCCTTAGGCATGCTGCAAGGAGGCATGAGGACTGCAGATGTGGCCAGGGCAATAAATTGCAATGTCCGTATTGTGAGACGCCTAAGACAGCGCTACAGGGAGACAGGACGGACAGCTGATCGTTCTCGCAGTGGCAGACCACGTGTAACACCTGCACAGGATCGGTACATCCGAACGTCACACCTGCGGGACAGGTACAGGATGGCAACAACAACTGCACAAGTTACACCAGGAATGCACAATCCCTCCATCAGTGCTCAGACTGTCCGCAATAGGCTGAGAGAGGCTGGACTGAGGGCTTGTAAGGCAGGTCCTCACCGGCAACACCATCGCCTATGGGCACAAAACCACCGTCGCTGGACCAGACAGGACTGGCAAAAAGTGCTCTTCACTGATGAGTCGCGGTTTTGTCTCACCAGGGATGCTGGTCGGATTTGCGTTTATCGTCGAAGGAATGAGTGAGGCCTGTACACTGGAGCAGGATCGATTTGGAGGTGGAGGGTACGTCATGGTCTGGGCTTGTTGTCATTGCAGGCAATCTCAACGCTGTGCTTTACAGGGATGACATCCTCCTCCCTCATGTGGAACCCTTCCTGCAGGCTCATTCTGACATGAACCTCCAGCACGACAATGCCACCAGCCACACTGCTCGTTCTGTGCATGATTTCCTGCAAGACAGGAATGTCAGTGTTCTGCCATGGCCAGCGAAGAGGCCGGATCTCAATCCCATTGAGCACGTCTGGGACCTGTTGGATCGGAGGGTGAGGGCTAGAGCCATTCCCCCCAGAAATGTCCGCGAACTTGCAGGTGCCTTGGTGGAAGAGTGGGGTAACATCTCACAGCAAGAACTGGCAAATCTGGTGCAGTCCATGAGGAGGAGATGCACTGCAGTACTTAATACAGCTGGTGGCCACACCAGATACTGATTGTTACTTTCGATTTTGACCCCCCCTTTGTTCAGGGACACATTATTCAATTTCTGTTAGTCACATGTCTGTGGAACTTGTTCAGTTTATGTCTCAGTTGTTGAATCTTGGTATGTTCATACAAATATTTACACGTTACGTTTGCTGAAAATAAACGCAGTTGACAGTAACAGGACGTTTATTTTTTTGCTGCGTTTATGTATGTATGTATGTATGTATGTATGTATACTACCGTTCAAAAGTTTGGGGTCACTTAGACATTTTCTTGTTTTCGAAAGACAAGCAATTTCACAGAACAGCGCAAACTGGCTCTAAACAGAATAGAAAGAGGAGTGGGAGGCCATATCTCAGACTGGTCAATAAAAATAAAAGATTAAGATGGGCAGTCTGATATATGGCTTTTTCTTTGCAACTCTGCCTGGAAGGTCAACATCCCGGAGTCGCCTCTTCACTGTTGACGTTGAGACTGGTGTTTTGGGGGTACTATTTAATGAAGCTGCCAGTTGAGGACCTGTGAGGCGTCCGTTTCTCAAACTAGACACTAATGTATTTGTCCTCTTGCTCAGTTGTGCACCGGGGCCTCCCACTCATCTTTTTATTCTGGTTAGAGCCAGTTTGCGCTGTTCTGTGAAGGGAGTAGTACACAGCGTTGTACGAGATCGTCAGTTTCTTGGCAATTTCTCGCATGGAATAGCCTTCATTTCTCAGAACAAGAATTGACTGACGAGTTTCAGAAGAAATTTTGAGCCTGTAATCGAACCCACAATTGCTGATGCTCCAGATACTCAATTGGTCTCCAGAAGGCCAGTTATATTGCTTCTTTAAATCAGCACAACAGTTTTCAGCTGTGCTAACATAATTGCAAAAGGGTTTTCTAATGATCAATTAGCCTTTGCTAATCCAAGTTTATCATTTTAAAACAACGTGCCATTGGAACACAGGATTGATGGTTGCTGATAATGGGCCTCTGTACGCCTATGTAGATATTCCATTAAAAATCAGCCGTTTCCAGCTACAATAGCCATTTACAACTTTAACAATGTCTACACTGTATTTCTGATCAAATTTATGTTATTTTAAAAATGGACAAAAAAAATAGCTTTTCTTTCGAAAACAAGGACATTTCTAAGTGACCCCAAACTTTTGAATGGTAGTGTATGTAAATAGTACTTTGCAATGTGTAGATTTGATTCAGCAGCAAGCGAATTAATCAAAATATATTTTATTCTACATTCTATTGAATACCAACGTCTGACTGCTGAAAATGGAATAGGCCTGGCAATGAGAAAAGTCATTGCATCATGTACCTGAGATATCGACGCGCGTGTTCATTTTTGTGACCGACCATTAGATAGTAGCATCCCACAGCAAACCAAGAGACCTGGATGAAAACAATGTTTACCATTTGATTAGTGGGCAAATGTTAATGCATAAAGAAAACAAACATACTGTACCAATTAGAGCTTGGATATGTGCACTGTCAATATGCAAGTATAGACGGGTATCACAGGAGGTTGGTGGCATCTTAATTGGGGAGGATGGGCTGGTGGTAATGGCTGGGAGCAGGATGGTATCAAATACATGGTTTCCAGGTGTTTGATGCCATTCCATTCGCACCAGCCATTATTATGAGCAGTCTTCCCCTCAGCAGCTTCATGTGGCGGGTATACTCATAGCAGAGGAGAGTAGTGGTATACAAAGCAGGGGTTATACTTACTGGGTTGTTGGGATACAAGTCCACAAGCTTGTGTGAAAGGTAAAACAGTTCTGTGGGTGTATAAAGAGCAGAGAATCATGGTACATATTTTTTCTCAAACAATTTTGATTTATGAGATTCATGAGTATGCATGAATAAACACACTTAAAAGGAGAGCATCAACAGGCTTACCATTTGCTTTGCTGAGCTCCACCAGTGTTCCTATATGAACAGGTAAACAGTTGGCATGGAATGGGTCTTTCACCATCACCCTTGAAGAAACAAAACATTCAGGATATGTAGACGGGCCAAATTATCAGTATGAAACATACCCTTTTCACAGAACTGAGCCGAGCTGAGAGAATAATATTCCAATAAACATACAAAACATGTTTGTTGGAATACAAAACATTAGGAACACCTGCTCTTTCCATGATAGACTGGCCAGGTGAATACTATGATCCCTTATTGGGATCACTTGCTAAATTCACTTCAAATCAGTGTTTTGAAGGGGAGGAGACAAGTTAAAGAAGGATTTTTAAGCCTTGAGACATGGATTCTGTATGTGTGCCATTCAGAGGGTGAATGGCCAAGACAAAATATTTAAGTGCCTTTGAACGGGGTATGGTAGTAGGTGCCGGGGCACCGGTTTGTGTCAAGAACTGCAACGCTGCTGGGTTTTTCACACACAACAGTTTCCTGTGTATCAAAAATGTTCCACCACCCAAAGGACATCCAGCCAACTTGCCACAATTGTGGGAAGCAATTGAGTCAACATGAGCCAGCATCACTGTGGAACGCTTTCAACACCTTGTATAGACAATGCCCCGACGAATTGAGGCCGTTCTAAGGCAAAAGGGGGTGCAACGTAGTATTAGGAAGGTGTTCCTAATGGTTTGTCCACTCAAGTGTATATCATATCAGATCTTATAAACAAAAAAAAAGGTTTGTTTGGCCGATTTAACACCTGCAGACTCGTCTGAAGGTAACCCATACAAACGAACGGACGTAGTTTTGTGCCAACAAAAAGGAGTTAAATGTGTCCAAAAGAAAAAACGTAAATATTTCCTGAGCTTTCTTATATCTCCTAGATATAGGACAGACACTTCAAAATCGTATGATTTATTTTGACTGTCTTTGTCATTTATGAACGTGTTATTTAATGCTTCAATAGGCTATATATAGTAGTAAAGGCCAAATTCAATATTTTATCCCCTCCCCCCAAAAAAATTTTGACCTGGGGTCTTAAAATTCTAAATCAAATAGCTAAATGATCCATGGTATGACCATCTTAAAAGCATTCAATATGTTAGCTTAGTACCCCCCAACAGCTTAGACGTTTAGAGGTTAGAAACAAAAAAAGGTTAGTTTTGCCGATTAACACCAGCAGACTGCCAATAAATAGGAGGGGCCAGTCTGTTTATTTCTAGTTAAAAGGTGGGCCAGCGGTTAGTTATCAAACTTACATGGAAGTGAGTTTGTAGCACACTTTGAAGTTGCAGTTGTAATAATGCCTCTCGGCGAGAGAGACCACCACATCCAAGTTGTCCTGGAGACCGTTGACCATCTCTGGGACCACCATATCACTGGGCTTGTTATACTGAGAGAAGGAAAGAGGGATGGATGGAGGTAGAAAAGGGAGGGGAACAAATTAGGAATTGTAACAAAAGCACCATCATTAGCAATTGAATCAACATTAATTTGAGACAAATGACCACTCTTAACCTTAGTAAAAATCAGGGGAGAACATTTTAGGGTTTTGCTGTCATGGTAACTGCTCGACTGACAGGGCAACTGTAGATGACCAATACTAAATAGGAGTAATTGTAATATGGTTCGTTCTGAACTATAGGGCAAAATCCAAAGTGATATGCGATGACCTACTGTGGCGGGAATGACATTTCTTCAGCCGGTTAATGTCATGCAAAAGACTGTCGGTCTCACGGTAATTGACCGTTAATTAACAAACACGTTCAGCCTCTCTAGGCCTCCATGCATAGAAGCTGCTGATGCGTGCCTTTGGAACATCTACATTTAAAAGTCTGATTTATCAATTTAATATACACCATCACAATAAATCCATTATTTTTGTCATGTCTAAAGAAATATGAAGAAAATGTATTTCAGAAGAACAAAATACAAGTTGGCCTATTGTATGTTCTCTGGCTATACTCCATGCCATAGGCTTGTTCATTTAGCAGAGATAGATATGCTTACAAGTCCTGTGCCATTATTTTATAATATGATTTTATAGTAAGAATAATTTAATTTAACTTAGCTGAATAAAATAGAATGGATATTTTTCCCATTCTGGAGAGTGTGAATTTGAAGTGGCTATGTTGAGCATAAAAGTGATCATTTGAAACAGCTCCTATATGCTAGATTTAGAGGTATTTGGCAACTTTAGTTGTGAATGATACAAACCTTCGAATGTCTTAGAAATCAAAACATGGGCTGCATGATGCTACTATAGGCTATTGATGATTTAAGAAAGCTTCAAAAAAATGCTTGCGCTCTGTTCCTTGCCTCAAGCCGCACAGCGGTTCTCTCATCAATTGATAATATTTTCACCCATCAGATTATCCTCAATTTAAACTAGTCTTTACTAATATGTACAATTAATTAGAATGATAAATGGGCCAAATGGGCAGAAGAAAAAAGACGTAATCCGTATGCACTCGAATAGTGAATGGAGGCGCGCGCTTTCCCGCCAGTCCGTTTTTCAATGATGCCGGTACTTCGGTTTTATAGCGGAGCATGTTCATAATACGAGCAGCTGAGAAGTAAATATAAAAACACCTATTCCACTCCACGTGTCAACCACTGTTTGAGGAGCATGCGCTCACAGTGCGACAGGTGATATTCCGCCTAAACTGTGTGCCATGGGCTCTCCAACCCTGTTCCTGCAGCTACCCAGTGCTTAATTTGGGAGGTGAAATCTGTTCGGGAACATCGATAGTAAAATGTTCACAACAAAACATTTAATTAAACTGTTGACAGCCCCTCTGCGCGCTCTAGAAAGGAATAAAGGAGAGCAAGGAGAGATGGAAACGCATGGTGGAGATATATTCTGTTTAGCTAAAAGGTAATGTGTTACCAAATTACTAAGCTTTTCAAAATCAAATTCAGTACAATTATAGGCTAACTCTGTACGCCACCCTGCACAATCAATGAACCAACAGCATCGCCAAGGGCTATACGTTCTCTACCAGACTCATGGATAGATATTTTGGAGAGTAACATAAGGTAACCAGTCAATAATAATAATAACAACAACAACAATCCACACTCACAGGCGATTACTCGAATTTGTTTACTTTTGGAGTATAGGCTAGACCAATTATGTACCAAAGACATCTTGAAATCAGTGTAATTGATTATTATTGTATTTTTTTTGCAATGCGTAATATACAGTGAGGGAAAAAAGTATTTGATCCCCTGCTGATTTTGTACGTTTGCCCACTGACAAAGAAATGATCAGTCTATAATTTTAATGGTAGGTTTATTTGAACAGTGAGAGACAGAATAACAACAAAACAATCAAGAAAAATGCATGTCAAAAATGTTATAAATTGATTTGCATTTTATTGAGGGAAATAAGTATTTGACCCCCTCTCAATCAGAAAGATTTCTGGCTCCCAGGTGCCTTTTATAGAGGTAGCGAGCTGAGACACTCTTAAAGGGAGTGCTCCTAATCTCAGTTTGTTACCTGTCCACAGAAGCAATCAATCAATCAGCTTCCAAACTCTCCACCATGGCCAAGACCAAAGAGAGAGATTGTAGACCTAAACAAGGCTGGAATGGGCTACAAGACCATCGCCAAGCAGCTTGGTGAGAAGGTGACAACAGTTGGTGTGATTATTTGCAAATGGAAGAAACACAAAATAACTGTCAATCTCCCTCGGCCTGGGGCTCCATACAAGATCTCACCTCGTGGAGTTGCAATGATCATGAGAACGGTGAGGAATCAGCCCAGAACTACACGGGATGATCTTGTCAATGATCTCAAGGCAGCTGGGACCATAGTCACCAAGAAAACAATTGGTAACACACTACGCCGTGAAGGACTGAAATCCTGCAGCGCCCGCAAGGTCCCCCTGCTCAAGAAAGCACATATACATGCCCGTCTGAAGTTTGCCAATGAACATCTGAATGATTCAGAGGAGAACTGGGTGAAAGTGTTGTGGTGAGATGAGACCAAAATGGAGCTCTTTGGCATCAACTCAACACGCCGTGTTTGGAGGAGGAGGAATGCTGCCTATGACCCCAAGAACACCATCCCCACCGTCAAACATGGAGGTGGAAACATTATGCTTTGGGGGTGTTTTTCTGCTAAGGGGACAGGACAACTTCACCGCATCAAAGGGACGATGGACGGGGCCATGTACTGTCAAATCTTGGGTGAGAACCTCCTTCCCTCAGCCAGGGCATTGAAAATGGGTCGTGGATGGGTATTCCAGCATGACAATGACCCAAAACACACGGCCAAGGCAACAAAGGAGTGGCTCAAGAAGAAGCACATTAAGGTCCTGGAGTGGCCTAGCCAGTCTCCAGACCTTAATCCCATAGAAAATCTGTGGAGGGAGCTGAAGGTTCGAGTTGCCAAACGTCAGCCTCGAAACCTTAATGACTTGGAGAAGATCTGCAAAGAGGAGTGGGACAAAATCCCTCCTGAGATGTGTGCAAACCTGGTGGCCAACTACAAGAAACGTCTGACCTCTGTGATTGCCAACAAGGGTTTTGCCACCAAGTACTAGGTCATGTTTTGCAGAGGGGTCAAATACTTATTTCCCTCATTTAAATGCAAATCAATTCATAACATTTTTGACATGCGTTTTTCTGGATTTTTTTGTTGTTATTCTGTCTCTCACTGTTCAAATAAACCTACCATTAAAATTATAGACTGATCATGTCTTTGTCAGTGGGCAAACGTAAAAAATCAGCAGGGGATCAAATACTTATTTCCCTCACTGTATGTATGTATGTATGTATGTATGTATGTATGTATGTATGTATGTATGTATGTATGTATGTATGTATGTATGTATGTATGTATATATATATATATATATATATACACACACATACATACACATACATACACACACACAGCTCTGGAAAAAATTAAGAGACCACTGCAAAAATATAAGTTTCTCTAGTTTTACTATTTATAGGTATGTGTTTGGGTGAAATTAAAAACAATTTATTCTATAAACTACTGACAACATTTCTCCCAAATTCCAAATAAATAGTCATTTAGAGCATTTATTTGCAGGGTGACGGACCCTCCAAATGGTCTTATCTGACCACAACACTTTCACCCAGTTCTCCTCTGAATCATTCAGATGTTCAAAACTTCAGACGGCCATGTATATGTGCTTTCTTGAGCAGGGGGACCTTGCGGGCGCTGCAGGATTTCAGTCCTTCACGGCGTAGTGTGTTTCCAATTGTTTTCTTGGTGACTATGGTCCCAGCTGCCTTGAGATCATTGACAAGATCCTCCCGTGTAGTTCTGGGCTGATTCCTCACCGTTCTCATGATCATTGCAACTCCACAAGGTGAGATCTTGCATGGTGTCCCAGGCCGAGGGAGATTGACAGTTCTTTTGTGTTTCTTCCATTTGCGAATAATCGCACCAACTGTCGTCACCTTCTCACCAAGCTGCTTGGCGATGGTCTTGTAGCCCATTCCAGCCTTGTGTAGGTCTACAATCTTGTCCCTGACATCCTTGGAGAGCTCTTTGGTCTTGGCCATGGTGGAGAGTTTGGAATGTGATTGATTGATTGCTTGCTTCTGTGGACAGGTGTCTTTTATACAGTTAACAAGCTGAGATTAGGAGCACTCCCTTTAAGAGTGTGCTCCTAATCTCAGCTCGTGACCTGTATAAAAGACACCTGGGAGCCAGAAATCTTTCTGATTGAGAGGGGGTCAAATACTTATTTCCCTCATTAAAATGCAAATCAATTTATAACATGTTTGACATGCGTTTTTCTGGATTTTTTTGTTGTTATTCTGTCTCTCACTGTTCAAATAAACCTACCATTAAAATTATAGACTGATCATTTCTTTGTCAGTGGGCAAACGTACAAAATCAGCAGGGGATCAAATACTTTTTTCCCCTCACTGTATATATCCTTTAAAATATATTTCCCTTTATTACTTTCCAACCCCACCACCCCTTCCCTAATTGGAGTAAACTAGTGAACAACAATGCTTAGGCCTCTACTTCCAGCTTATACATACTATATACATTTTATGGACACAGTCAATTTTACTGCGGTTTGTTTTTACTTATAAACTTCCTCTACCCTCAATCTCTCTGATCATTTTCATGATGTCCATCCGGTTTGCTTCTATATGCCATATCTTTCTAACTGTGCTTTCACAAAAGCTCTCAACCTATAACCTATATACTTATTATGGACACAATATGCTTTACATTAGTTATCTTGTTGTTATTAGTTGTTATTAGTCCCATCCTTCAACTCCATTCAACACCACCCATCTATCTCTTAACACTATCCATATTGGATTTATATTTGCTGTTGAACTTCTTTCTTCAAACTGATCATCACAGTGAGGTGAGTTTTAAAAGCAAGATACTGTTTTGATGACAAGTGTTTGATGTGATTTGCGATTGCTTTTGCAATGATGTCAGAGTGGTTAGAGGGACAATCAAGCCCTGAGTATCAGGCCATTAGGACCTGATGGTCCTTACAAAGTTGGGTACTACCAAAACATGTCCAGAGTGCACAAGAGGAGATTACTGCGACTCAATGGTCACGTGGAATTTTACTGCGGTCATGACTCATGACTGCCGGTGTGGCGGTAATAGTCACCACAACAGCCCTATGATGACCTGGGTATTCAAATACAGAAACATGGTGATCAACATTGACCGTGTAAAAACTGAACAGTAACATAGGAATACAAACAGAACGGACGTCATGACATGGAGGATAACAGTGGATGTACCTTCTTCAATTTATTCTCAAACAGGAAGTGAAGTAATTTGTCTTCCTCCTCGGTGCACTGTTGGCTCAGAGGAAGTGAGTCCAGGAAGTCCTTTTCTACAACACACAAAAATGGAGGGGCTTGGGTAAGAAAAATAAACAGTGCATTCGCAAAGTATTCAGACCCCTTGACTTTTTCCCCATTTTGTTACGCTACAGCATTATTCAAAAATTGATTAAATCGTTTTTTTCCCCCTCATCAATCTACACACAATACCCCATAATGACAAAGCAAAAACAGGTTTTTAGAATAATGTACATTTGCTAGAATTTATAAAAACCAGTTTTTGATTTGTCATTATGGGTTATTGTGTGTAGATTGAAGAGGGGATTTTTGTTTACATTTTTTAATCCATTTTAGAATAAGGCTGTAACGTAACAAAAAAGGTAGAAAAAGTCAAGGGGTCTGAATACTTTCCGAATGCACTGCATACCGTCATCTGCCTACATAGCATATACGGTACAACTACATTTACCCTACAGAAACATCTGTGTACAGTATACCATTATTGACATAAAATAATTGCACAAAATAATCTATATTACTCCTGCTACACACGTGCAAAACCCATAAGGATCACCTTCCTGAGCGGTCAGCATGTGATGGGACGTTAGAAGGTCGAAGGCTTCAAAGCAGTACACGTCCAGTTTCAAGGCCTCTTTGTAGCTGGATGTGGCCAGAGGCCGGTTGTCCATGGCATCATAGATCTTCCCCCGCAACAGACAGATAGAACTGTTGATCTGAGAGAGGGCAGGTGAGGAATGAGGGAGAGCGAGCTAAAGAAAGATGTGAGACCACAGGGGTCAGGACCAATGAAGCAGCATCAGTCGGGGAAGCCTCCAGGGGCCTCTGACATAAAAAAAGACCCACACATTAATTTTGTATGAATATGGCAGCTGGTGTGGCTACTTGGTGAACGACAGAACCCTTTAATAATATGGTGGTGATTATTACAAAAAGGAACATTCATAGCTTTCAAAAGGAACAATTCATGAAAATGCAACGAAAAGGGTCTTTGACATGGCAACTGAGTATTCAATCTCTTCCTCAGTCACCTAAAATACAGAATGCAAATACTGTAGTTAACCTGTAACCACAAAACCATAAATGTGAAGAGACTGGAAAATCACATTGTAAGAGGCTTGAACACAAACGTGGCATTACAGGGCCACAAAAACAAATTGGACCCTATTGTGTAAGAGGGGAGACTCACAGAGGCAGGGCTCATCTCCCAGTCCTTGGCCGACTCTTGTATCCCGTGGTCTTCTTTGATACTCCAGTCCAGCAGCTTCTTGCTGGCTGGCTCCTCCATGTCCAGGATGTCTAAGGCCTGCTGGAACTCTTTGGCAGCATACTGCACAAAACACAAACAATAAGTTAGTGCTTCCAATGGGTCAGCTCAGTTAGGAGCATGGTGCTGGTAAACTCAGGGTTGTGGGATTGATTCCTGCATAGGCCACATATAATTAATTTTTGCGCCACTGTCGATGCTGACAGTTCTGTAAGACCATTTTGATAGGAAGCACCTGCTTCTGAAGACTTATCTCCCTCACTAACTTTAAGCATCAGTTGTCAGAGAAGCTTACCGATCACTGCACCTGTACACAGCACATCCAATTACCTCATGCCCATATTGTTATTTATTTTGCACCACAGTATCTCTATTTGCACATCATATTCTGCACATCTTTTACTCCAGTGTTAATACTAAATTGTAATTATTTTGCACTATGGCCTATTTATTGCCTTAACTCCATAACTTGCTACATTTGCACACACTGTATATAGATTTTCTATTGTGTAATTGACTGTACGTTTTGTTTATCCTATATGTAACTCTGTGTTGTTGTTTTTAAATCGCACTGCTTTGCTTCATCTTGGCCAGGTCGCAGTTGTAAATGAGAACTTGTTCTCAACTGGCTTACATGGTTAAATATAGGGAAAATTTTTTTATAACGTTACAATATTCGGGAATAACAGCACACAAATAGGATGTACTTATCCTTGCAGACTAGAGACAAGTACAAGTAAAACAGAGTGGGAGAAAGTAGAGCCAACAGCTTTTGTAATACAAAAGAAAAAAAAGGGGTGAAAAGTGTCTAATAGACAACATAGTGAGGGGAAAAAAGTATTTGATCCCCTGCTGATTTTGTACGTTTGCCCACTGACAAATACATGATCAGTCCCACCCATGATGGTCCCAGCTGCCTTGAGATCATTGACAAGATCCTCCCGTGTAGTTCTGGGCTGATTCCTCACCGTTCTCATGATCATTGCAACTCCACAAGGTGAGATCTTGCATGGAGCCCCAGGCCGAGGGAGATTGACAGTTATTTTGTGTTTCTTCCATTTGCGAATAATCGCACCAACAGTTGTCACCTTCTCACCAAGGTGCTTGGCGATGGTCTTGTAGCCCATTCCAGCCTTTTGTAGGTCTACAATCTTGTCCTTGACATTCTTGGAGAGCTCTTTGGTCTTGGCCATGGTGGAGAGTTTGGAATCTGATTGATTGATTGCTTCTGTGGACAGGTGTCTTTTATACAGGTAACAAACTGAGATTAGGAGCACTCCCTTTAAGAGTGTGCTCCTAATCTCAGCTCGTTACCTGTATAAAAAGACACCTGGGAGCCAGAAATCTTTCTGATTCTTTCTGACTTATTTCCCTCATTAAAGTGCAAATCAATTTAACATTTTTGACATGTGTTTTTCAGGATTTTGTTGTTGTTATTCTGTCTCTCACTGTTCAAATAAACCTACCATTAAAATTATAGACTGATAATTTCTTTGTCAGTGGGCAAACGTACAAAATCAGCAGGGGATCAAATACTTTTTTCCCCCTCACTGTAGGACATATTGTCCATGGGCCAGAGGGCCACTTTGGAGTGGCAAAGTCTAATGATGATTTTCATTAACGTAATGTCTGTGGATTGTATTTTGGTATGATAGCCATGTATCGGAGGTAGCTAAATGTGGCTATCACTGCGTTATATGAATTATATGTTCGCAAGGAATAATGTCGCCAGAGGGGATTGACTGCAGTTTTACGGGCTCCTAACCAATTATAGTTCTACTGCTGTACCATCTAGAGCATCCTGCCTGGTTGCATCACAGCTTGGTATGGCAACTGCTCGGCATCTGACCTGAAGGCGCTACAGAGGGTAGTGCGTATGGCCCAGTACATCACTGGGGCCAAGCTTCCTGCCATCCAGGACCTCTTTACCAGGCAGTGTCAGAGGAAGGCCCTCAAAATTGTCAAAGACTCCAGCCACCCTAGTCATAGATTGTTCTCTCTGCTACTGCACGGCAAGAGGTACCGGAGCACCAAGTCTAGGTCCAAAAGGCTCCTTAACAGCTTCTACCCCCAAGCCATAAGACTGCTAAACAGTTAAATCAAATGGCTTTCATTGCAAATGCATTGACCCCGGGGGGGGTTTACGCTGCTGCTACTCGCTTTTTATAATCTATGCATAGTCACTTTACCCCTACCTACATATACATATTACCTCAACTAACCTGTACCCTCGCACATTGGCTCGGTATCAGTACACCCTGTATATAGCCTCATTATTGTAATTTTTTTGTGTAACAAATTCTGCATTGTTGGTTAAGGCTTGTAAGTAAGCATTTCATGGTAAGCTCTACACCTGTTGTAGTCGGCGCATGTGACAAATACAATTTGATGTGATTATGTTTATGACCCCCATGTGATTAGTTGGGCCAACAGGATCAGGGTATGAAATGTAATTTTGTATTATCAGGGAACAATCTTCACAAACTAAGGCAATTTGATATGTTATTAACTTCATAATACAACACATTAAGGTATGAAACAATTGTAATGACATCTCTATATACATTTATGCACTTTGGGATATATAGAGCCAGAATGGACAGTATTAGGATGTGCTCTATCATCACATGGTACCCTGAATCAGGGGTACTCAACTACTATTTGAGAGGGTCCAGTCACACATATTTCCTAGATGGCAAAGGTCCGGATGGATAGTAACAATCCCCCACCTCGCGACCCCAAATTGTTCACACCACTCCTGTTGGCGGAGAGAACATTTTTACCATTTTAAAAGCTCATTCCCCTCAATTCTACATATTTTGCCATGGGGTGGACAGAAGTTAATTTCCTGCAATTCTACAAATTTTGCCATGTCTTGTGTGTTATACCCGAGTGACAAAATAAGTCGAGGCCCCCGAATACGTAATCTGGCCATAACTACAATATTTAGATACAGTGAGGGAAAAAAGTATTTGATCCCCTGCTGATTTTGTAAGTTTGCCCACTGACAAAGACATGATCAGTCTATAATTTTAATGGTAGGTTTATTTGAACAGTGAGAGACAGAATAACAACAAAAAAATCCAGAAAAACGCATGTCAAAAATGTTATGAATTGATTTGCATTTTAAATTAGGGAAATAAGTATTTGACCCCTCTGCAAAACATGACTTAGTACTTGGTGGCAAAACCCTTGTTGGCAATCACAGAGGTCAGACGTTTCTTGTAGTTGGCCACCAGGTTTGCACACATCTCAGGAGGGATTTTGTCTCACTCCTCTTTGCAGATCTTCTCCAAGTCATTACGGTTTTGAGCCTGAAGTTTGGCAACTCGAACCTTCAGCTCCCTCCACAGATTTTCTATGGGATTAAGGTCTGGAGACTGGCTAGGCCACTCCAGGACCTTAATGTGCTTCTTCTTGAGCCACTCCTTTGTTGCCTTGGCCGTGTGTTTTGGGTCATTGTCATGCTGGAATACCCATCCACGACCCCTTTTCAATGCCCTGGCTGAGGGAAGGAGGTTCTCATGCAAGATTTGACGGTACATGGCCCCGTTCATCGTCCCTTTGATGCAGTGAAGTTGTCCTTTCCCCTCAGCAGAAAAACACCCCCAAAGCATAATGTTTCCACCTCCATGTTTGACGGTGGGGATGGTGTTCTTGGGGTCATCATAGGGAGCATTCCTCCTCCTCCAAACACGGCGAGTTGAGTTGATGCCAAAGAGCTCGATTTGTCTCATCTGACCACAACACTTTCACCCAGTTCTCCTCTGAATCATTCAGATGTTCATTGGCAAACTTCAGACGGGCCTGTATGTGCTTTGAGCAGGGGGACCTTGCAGGCGCTGCAGGATTTCAGTCCTTCACGGTGTAGTGTGTTACCAATTGTTTTCTTGGCGACTATGGTCCCAGCTGCCTTGATATCATTGACAAGATCCTCCCGTGTAGTTCTGGGCTGATTCCTCACCGTTCTCATGATCATTGCAACTCCACGAGGTGAGATCTTGCATGGAGCCCCAGGACGAGGGAGATTGACAGTTATTTTGTGTTTCTTCCATTTGCGAATAATCGCACCAACCGTTGTCACCTTCTCACCAAGCTGCTTAGCGATGGTCTTGTAGCCCATTCCAGCCTTGTGTAGGTCTACAATCTTGTCCCTGACATCCTTGGAGAGCTCTTTGGTCTTGGCCATGGTGGAGAGTTTGGAATCTGATTGATTGCTTCTGTGGACAGGTGTATTTTATACAGGTAACAAACTGAGATTAGGAGCACTCTTTAAGAGTGTGCTCCTAATCTTAGCTCGTTACCTGTATAAAAAGACACCTGGGAGCCAGAAATCTTTGAGAGGGGGTCAAATACTTATTTCCCTCATTAAAATGCAAATCAATTTATAAAAAAATGTATGCCTTTTTCTGGATTTTTGTGTTGTTATTCTGTCTCTCACTGTTCAAATAAACCTACCATTAAAATTATAGACTGATAATTTCTTCGTCAGCGGGCAAACGTACAAAATCAGCAGGGGATCAAATACTTTTTTCTCCTCACTGTAGCTGGTTAGCCTATCTTACCCATCTTGCTAACATGGCCAGTAGTAGATCAACTGGACATTTGACAGGTTAAAAATATCTCTCAAAAGCAATAAGTTAAACACCTGACTGAGTTCCTATTATTATTATTATTTATTTTTAAACACTGTCCGTCAGACCCCATTCTGGGTCCGGACCCGGACCGCGGTCTGCCAGTTGAGTACGGCTGCCCTAGATGACTACACCAGGAGACCCATTGGGAAAGTTTTTTTTTAAGCTATACAGTACCAGTCAAAAGTTTGGACACCTCTTATTACACACATTATTTATTCAGTTATGGCCATGCAAAATCAATGTAGTTTATTCCCATTGAAAGGAATGGAGGCAATCTTGGAAATAGGCTGCTAGGACTGATTGACAAAGTCTATGATGACTATATACAGTACCAGTCAAAAGTTTGGACACCTACTCAGTCAAGGGTTTTTCTTTTCTTTTTAC